AAATAAAACCAACCAACCAAAGAACTGGACAAGCCATAAGTCAGGGGCTTCATTTTAACCTTGGCATTGGTGGGCTCAAAGGGGAAGAGAGGTTTCCCAGGGATTTGTGGAAATACTTCCAAGCCTCTCTCATGTCAGTGTTCTCTGACACTCTGTGATATAATTAAAGCCGGGGTGGGGGAAGAAAAGTAATGAAAACTAATTCAAAGGTCCAATATTAAGAGAAGTTAAATCCTGCAAAAGGAAGGGAACCTTGTCATAGCCCAGGAAAGGGCAGGGAGCAAGAAAAATATTTCATCTAACTTTTTTCATGAAAGTTTGCATTTTTTAATTACATACACACATATATACACACATAAGTGCGTTTGTGTTTGAGACAGATATCTGAATGTAAAGTAAAACATGAACTCAGACTTGCCCTGAGCCTAATCCAGACCCTGTACATGGCCCAGAGCCTCTGGGACACTTATTCCAGCACTGTCTTCAGAGACTTTGCAAATGTGAAGCCTTTCCAAAGGCTGCARTCATTGTTGGACCTGGTTCCCTGTGCCTCAGATTTAAATCATGCACATGAAAACAGTCTAACAGAGAAACTGGGACATAAAAATAATAAAAAAGAACCCCAAACTTAAAAAAGGTAARCCATTGGTATGTTCATGTGAGCCATCTGAGCAAATGCCTTGCAAAATAATTCTGACGTTAATTCCCTTTCCAGGGTAACCCTTTGGTGTGTTTCTCTACCATCCTCTTGAAACAAAAGTGAATATAGTCACGTTTCAGTTGGTGTCAGTACCAATGTACCAATGCTAGAAAACATAAAGCTATCTTTTCCATACAGCATCACTGCCTTTGACGTACCAAAACTCCCCATTTCCAGTGGAAAACCARCCATTTGAAGCTTCACGCCAAGTTACCCTTCTGCAAGATTTCCTGGAAAGCACCATCGGAGACAGATCACAAAACCATATTACCGGTACAACTCTGTGATTGTGAAGCTTCCTCAGCTGCTGCTTCCCAACTCCTTTTCCCAAAGTTTTCCTCCGGAACCCAGAGGGAAGGCAAAGCAATGCTCTTTGGTGCTGACCTCCCTGGCCAACTTGCTCTGAATTTTATTCCACCAGTGTTGAACTTGGCTTTCTGTTTAAACAAACTAACAAACAAACAAACCCTCCTACTTTTGACTACTTGACATCCCTAAATGGAACCAAAGAGGCTGATAACTGGTCTGGGATGATCCTCACAGACCAAAGGATAAGGGAYGAGTGGCTGCTGCTTGGCAGCAAGCTTCCCAGCTCCCACTGCACCATCTCTACTTCATGAAACTTTTCCAGGCACCAAGCTCTCTCCATATCCAGTGCTCAACCTTTAGGCAACTATGTATTTGCCCCAAATCTAAGCATAACAGAATCCAGTCACACTGTTAACAAGAAAGCAAGGACAGGACCACACTTAAACTGGGAAACTAAAAGTAGCTACAAACAGCAAGATAGGAATGCACTGAAAATAACCTGAGAGAGGACATGAAGCCTGAGCAAGCAAAAGAGTAGGGGTGAGAGGTGATGCCTGCAAATGTCAATTTAATGGAGTTCCTATTGTTCCCTAACCCTTGAGGAAAACATAGGGAGCTCTAAGACTAGTCTGAACATATTGGGAAAAAATTTTGAATGCACAACACAAAAGAAGGCCAAAATCCACATTACTGTTTTTCAGTATAAGTATTGCTATCTGCACAAATTCCAGGCTTCTCTTAAAATGCTCCTCATGCCGCTGAGCAATCAGTCAGTAAAATGGGTATTCCTGCCCCAAACACAGCAGCCAGGCTTCCCAGCTGCTGACCATGCTGAGAGCACTCGGCAAYGCTCTCCTGACCTGGAGTGACCCAACCCTTGTGCTTCCACAGCCATCATAAGGTTTCACAGGGAGCAGGCAGTGTACCAGGGGTCATAAAGATGCTGGCTGGCATCAGGCAGCACTTCTTCCATTCCACGTAATTTATTACCCAAGCACACTGAGCTGTCTCTTCTTGCTGACCTAGATTGTATTTTGGAAGTACTGTGGAACATCGCTGCATCCTTTTAGCCAGCATGGTGAGGATGGGATGGAGAGCTCACCGTCAGCCAGCAGGTACCAAATCAGCAGGCACATGTACCATGACGGGGAACAAACACGCACCCACCGCACATCAAAGATCCAGCCAGAAAAAAAACTGAAGCAGCATCTCAGAGGTTTCTTGGTCTTGTCTGGGAGCCGAGGCAGCCATTGGATCTGGAAAGAGACACCCCACATGCAGCACAGTGGATGGGATGGGCAGCCTGCGAGCGAGCACTTGTCGGGAGCAGAGCCTGAGTCACCCCGAGCTGCCACAGCAGGGACACGGCGCAGGAAGTTGCCCAACACCATTTCAGTYGTGGAGCAGAACACACACACAGCCCCACCGGGATGAGGCACTCGCTSCCTCCTTCTGCTTCCTCAGGAAAAGTTACCATCGCTGCAGTGCCATCCTGGAGATGAGCTTACACACAAAGCACTCATTTACCAGGAGGGAAGGAACAGCAGCCGCCGCAGCGAGAGAACTCAAGGAGCCAAAGGGAATAACCCACAAGTTGCACCTCTGCTAAAAGGTAGCGAGCATTCATCCAAACTGCTGACAGCCAGTTACTTATGGGGACTAGAGGCTGCTTTTCATCCACCTGCAGCCGCGCAGGGAAAGCTGTGTTTCACAMAGCTTGTTTTGCACCAAAACAGTGCAATAAGGCTGTCCTATGGCAGGGAATGGCATCAAGTGATGCATGGCAACGGTGGCTGAGGGCACTCTTCCCAACACCCATCCTTTCTGCCACCTCGCTMGCCATAATCCCTCTGTACAGCTCCTTCTGTCAAGGTATCACAAACTTGCACGTGGAAAAAGTCTTCTTAGTGCCTGTGGTACTTCCTCTCGCATGTATCGCCTTTTAACCCCAACAATCAGTAGGCGAGGAGAGACAAGGTGGAATTGCAACCCTAGTGAAACCAACATGAAAACTTCCGCTGCTGTTATGGGAACCACCAGTTCTGCGTGAGAACGGCATGGCTTTCTCACCTGCTCAAACTAYATCCCTGTACAGCATCTTCAGCTGCCCAGCTATCTCAGTCACCASAAGAGTTTGCTCAACATGTCAGGTTTTCAAGTCTATTGCACTGAGTGCACAGAGCCCGTGGTTAATAAAGTCAGTAAAAATCAGCCTGATACATCCCTAAGCCTCTGCCTTCTTTCCCAGGCACTCCATTCACTTTCCAGGCTGTACTTCTCATCCTCTACATACATACACATACCTCTATCTGCTCCAATACTTACTGGACYGGCACGTTCTGACAAAGGGAGTTGCTGGCAATGCTGGTACCTTCAATCCCGAGCTCTCTAGAGGACACTAAAAGGCTCCTCAAGCAGAAATTCCATTGGGACTGGAGCTGTTGAGGCAGCACACTCCTTGGTCGGTGTCCCTTTTATACAAAAAAATCTTACTTCTGGGCTGGAAAATCCCTGGGGCGCTCCTTCAGCACAGCCCCAGCAGCAGCACCCAAAGCAGGTCACAACTTCATCCTCTGCTCTAGACACTGCCAACAAAGACATCAACCAAGTTTTATTCCAGCAAGGTCCCTGAGAGTGCTCAGGGCCACATCCCTGGACTGATAAAGAGCCAGTGCCTCCAGCTCCCCTCAGGACATGCAGGACAGCCAACACAGTCTCCACCACTCTGCAAGTGTAAACACTGTGTACAGCAGCACTGCTCAGTTTATGGGCATATCTGATGACAAAAAAAATACTAAAAGCACAGAAAAGTCTTGTTTCAGGCAACTCAAACATACAAAGTGAGAATCATCATCTCCTTTCYGTTTCTACAAAACTGAAGTTTCTACAAGTGAGCCCCCAGCAGAAGCTGATCTGCTGCAACAGTGTGAGGCTGAGAGCAGAGATAACACACCCTGGCACCGGCTAAGGTCATCAGCTCAAACCCTGTGCAGCACTAATTGCTACTAGAGAGCTTTCASTTCAGACTTGTGTCCAACTACCTTCTGCAGAGCTTGGGAAATGCGAATTGGCACCTGCCAAGAAAAAAAATCAACCTTCAAACTAGTTCAAGTTTCCTGACATAACATAATGACAGCTTAATTTTTCTTGCACAGATGTAGCATCACATCTAGGGACCAGACTTTTAGAAGGGGAAAAAAGACCCCAAACCAAGAAACACAACAGAAGTTAAATGGCTCACATGTCACTATATTACAATTCAACCATCACTAAATGTGGCTAAATGCAAGCGTATCAATAACAAGATTTGGAGAGTGTGTGCATACAAATATATGTATATATATACATATACATACAGTATAATACATATGAAGTTATCTTGAGTTTATAGGTTAGCCATAAAGCTAATCAAGTTGMTTTCTCAGCATTTAAGTCCACCACAATTCAGCATGTTTAACTTCATATTTCGCACACAGCATCCCTCCACAGGCAGGCACCACGAAGGGAACTGAGTTTATTGGGATCTCTTCAAGGTTACCCATTATTTGACTCTTCATTCTTTTTCGTCTTTGTTYGGGCTTGTCATAATCCAAACCCTTACCAACAAAAGCCAGTTTCTGGTCCCACAGACCCTGAGCACAAGGCACGCCAGTGTGTCCAAGCAGCAGGAAGGCAGKAAGGCAGTGGGGTTGCTGCTCCGCTGCCGCCACCAACTCACCGCCCAACTTCATCAAAAAATCCCGAAAAAGAGGGAAAGCTCTGAAGGGCCACGTGCAGATCCCAGCCTCACCGCGAGCACTTGGTCAGCCGTTTCCTGGATTTTACCCCAAAACGCGGGAACCCCGGAGCCTGCCCCCGCCTCTGCAAGGCACAGACGCTCCGCACATCCCCGGCGGCTTCCCGCCGGTTCGGGGACAACGGGGCGCAGCGGAACAACGCCAAAAGCGCCTTTATTTCACCCAAGGAAGCGCTTGAGTTTGATGGGACTGACCCGGCGGCGAGGGGCACGGCGGGGCCGCGCTCCCGGGTCCCGGYCCCGGGCTGGCCCCGTTTTCCATCATCGCAGCTGGAAGCGCGCARGAAGCGCGGGCTGGTCCTGTCCGGGGAGCGGTTGGAGGGGAATCACCCGCGCAGAAGCCGCGGAAGGGAGGGCGGAAGCTCCGCGGAGCCGCYGGGAGGAGGAGCCGCGGGTGCACGGCCCCGGGGGGAGCGGTGCGTGGGGACCCCCCCTGCCCACGCTCCGCCACCCAGAGCGGCTGAAGGCAGCGCCGCCTCCGCGCCTTGTCCCCACGCGGGACCGGGGGGGACACCGGTCACACCCCCCGCCCCGGCACCAGCGCACCCGCCGCCGCCGCCACGCTCCCCGCGCGTTCCCCTTCCCCCACGAAACCCTCCCGGAGCGGCAAAAACAAAAAAAACTCCCGCCCCGAAGGCAGGCAAAAGGCGAAAGCTAAACACAAAGAAGGCGCGGGGGCAGGCGGAGCGGGCGTGGGGGCGCGGGCGGCACTCACCGCGGTCATGAAGCCGTGCGGCCGGCGGCGGACACAATATGGCAGCGGGGGGATGTGTCAGGGAGCAGCTGCTCCCTGCGCAGCGGCGGCGGCACCGCCCTCCCGCTCCCCATGGCAACGCCGAGCAAGCACGGCCCCCCCGCCGCCTCCTTCCCTCCCTCCTCCTCCTCCTCCTCCTCCTCCCTGGGCGCCGGCACCGCCTCCGGCACCGCCACTGCCCCGCGCCCGTGCGGGCTGTGAGCGGCTCTGCGGCCGCGCTCCTGCTCCGAGCATCCGAGCATCCGAGCCGCCTCCTCAGAGTTCGCCTTCCCTTCCAGAAGTGCCACAGTTTGCAAATTTTAAACATTTAGAAATAGAAATGTATAAGCCCTCCTTGTAGTTTCATTTCCCTTTCCTCACCTTCTTTATATATCTATTTTTCTTTTATTTTGTCCTCTAAACAAAAATGAAGCCATCGACTTCGTGTTTGCCCTGCCTGGTAGCACACTGTGGTCCGCTCGTGCTTTCGACTTTCGGCTTTCCAGGGCAAGAACTCGGCTGTTTGCTCAGTGGGGTTGGACAGCCCTTCGTGCATTTGCAGTTTTACGGCATCATAAAGACGACCTCGGGAAGTSGCTTGCAGGAAGAAGTCTTGTTTCGAAGCTGATCTGCCACCGCAAAGAAAAGTTTGTTCACTTTTGCAAGGTTCCTCACCTTCTGAAGAATACAGCTTATGCCTGCCTCATGATGACTTGGGGTAATTTTATTTATAAGGAACGATGGGAATGCATGTCAAGGAAATTCCCGCACTCTGCATTAGGAGGAACCAGTGGTGTTTGGATTTTTTCTTTTTATTTGAAACCATTTCAGAGAACAATTTCTTGTGTTTTTTTGAGATTGAAAATGTATCAGGCTCAGGGTTGTAGCAGGCAGAATATTCTCCCAAGGGCAGAGGATCAAATCCAGTGGCAGGGAGACTCCTTCTGCTGCACCATGAAGCATGACTAGCTGCAAAAACTGATTCTGCAGAATYAGAACCACAGAGTTCTGATCAGAATAAGTTATTCTCAGCAACTTTCATTTAGCTCCTACCTAATTTACACTGATTAAACACATTGTAATTCATTCAACCTTTCCTTTTTCCTTTTACAGCCTCAGAAGTTAGCCAGGCCCTTCCTACCCTCTCGGCAGACAACAGAAGTGCACTCRTATTAATTATGTATTGCTAAAGCCATCTAATGCTGAAAGCACCCTCCGTTCCCAAATCATTAAAAATAGACCTGGTGCTGCCGGTACCAGYAATGCTTTTCCCATACGAGGCTCTTTTGTCTGAATTTCTAAATTTGACAGTGCCCGTCACTGTGCCCTGTGTGCTCTGCACGGCTCAGCTGCCTGGGCACAGGGAGGAGCAGGGCCCAGCAGAGCTCTGCTTGCCCGTTGGGATCAGGGTGTGTTGCTGTGACTTTTGCCCAGCTCGGCGGCAACCTCAAAGACAGACGTTTGAATCCAGGATGCCTTCAGCTTCMATTTATTATGTAGAAGGTTCCATTTGGGCCACCAAAGGTGATATCTGCTCTCAACCTTTGACTGCGTTCATACCCTGGCCTTTATAAAGTGTGTCTGCTCACAGGTTCTTTCCACTTACCCCTTAAAAATGCAATCYGAGTTCAGCAGGAGCACACATTCCYTCCCCCTTTGTAATTTAGTGGAAAAAAACACCACAAAACCAAACAAGAACTAAAAAGATAAAAGCCGTAAGTGCCCTGAAGTCGACACCCCCTCACAGGAACAAAAATAAAACTGGTATTTTATTTAAACTATGTTGTAACACAACACTTCAAATAAAACCAAATCTAYGCCTCCTGATAAACAGTCACCTTTATCTTCCTCAGCCCTTTCTACTCCTCAACATACCCATGCGAGGTCTTTTTGGCTTTAAACTGTGCTACATTGTTCAATGTCCACCAATTTTGTGTCAATAAAGACCGTAACCAARATCTGAGGTTTTCTGGAGCACCTTCTGCATCTCCCCTTTATCTCCAATTCTGACCGCAGTCCCCTTCACTCTTTGGCTCCTGTGAAGTCACCTGTAGCTGCAGCAGTGCACCTGGGACAGGGGATGCACAAAAGAAAGTCCAGCGCAGTTCTTAGAGAGGCTGAAACTCTCTGTCCCGTGCTGTGCTGATCCCCACTGAGCTCAGCAGGCAGAGCATCCCAGCAGTGCATGTGTGGCTGCAGCTCTGCAGGGTTAGAGGACCTGCAGCCAGCCTGTCCTGGTGGGGTGCTGAGAATTTTGGGGTCACCAGGGGTACACTCACACCTCTCCTGATGTTTGCCTGTCCCTGCCTGTACTGAATTCCTCAGCAGCGGCCTCAGCCAGCACCAGGATGCCTCAGTTAGTGCCCAGGCACTCACCAGATGATCAAGGGAACTGTGTTTGTGTGATCAAACACCAAATGTGATCCCCGTGATCCCCGTGATCCCCGTGATCCATTTTCCCTGGTGCAATCTGCACTCTGTGGTTGGTGAGAGCAAGAGGAATCAGGAGGTGGAGCGCTGGGAGCAATGGCGTGGGGCAGAGCCAAGGCCACCGGCGCTGTCCTGCTGGGAATTTAAAGCTGGACAGCCGCAGAGTGGAGGGTGCCCTGCCAAGGTGTTTGTGCAGAATCCCTGAAAGCTGCTTGCTCCCACATTCCCAAACTGAAGGCACGGGATGGTTTTTCCCTGCGATGYCCCCCGTGCCACGGTGCAGGCCTGTGCTGCTGGCAGGCTGAGCCCTCACGCCTCKCGCGCCATCTTAGATCTGCTCGGAGCGGAGTCCTGAGGGGAACCCACAGCGAAACAGCAGCCAGGCAAAGCACAGCCCCTCTGGCAAATATGACATGGTGCTATTTTCCAACAGACCTTTACAGCAGGTGGCACGGGCATTGGCTGTGGTGCTCGGTGTGTGTCTCTGCGCGGTCCCCGCGGTGTCCGTGAGGCACTGCCTGCAGCCCCTCAGCAGCAGCACGGCAGGATGGCTGCACAGGATGGATGGCTGCACAGGATGGCTGCACAGGCCAGACAGGGTGGCTGCACAGGATGGATGGCTGCACAGGATGGATGGCTGCACAGGCCGGACAGGTGCTGAGGGGGTGACAGGAGGTGCCCTCTGCCCTGCCCTTGTCACCTCGTGCTTTGGGCCAGGACACACTCCCAGAGGCTGCTGGTGCCTCCTGGCCTGGCTCCAGGCTGTCCTTGAATGTCCTGCCCACTGCAGGACGGCCGTGCCTGCTTTGCCAAGGCAGCTGTCATCACCGCAGCCCTCCTTCCTCCTCCTGCCTGCTCCTGCTTTGTGCCACAGGCTGCCTGTCCTCTCTTCTCCTCCGCAGGGCACAGCCACGGCTCTGGCTGCTTTGCCATCACCACAGGTGGCTGAATGCACAAAAACAAACAGGAAAACATGAGGTATTTTTGTTGTTTGGCATTTTTCCTTTCCATGTGAGGCTCAGTATCCTCAGAACTCCTCTCTAACTTCAATGCAAGGTGTGGATGGAAAGGGCATCCAGGGAGAAGAATCCCTGAGCACAAAGGACAGCCAACCAAGCCTGTCATGTGCAGGACTATCCCCCTGGGAAGAGAACCCTTCCTGCTGGCAGCTGCAGTTTGCTTCTCCTGCGAGGACAGGGCACACTGGGGTCCCTGCRTGGGTCACATCAGCCAGCTGGTGCCACCCAGCACCATTGAAAGCTCCTCCTGAAGCTCAGTGCACGTTCAGCGCTCCCAGATTGTGCCCAAGAGCGTGGGGAGCAGGGAGAGGCAAGGAGGGAACAGCTCCAAGCGCAGGGGCAGGTGCTGGATGTGCAATGCCATGGGTGCGTGCCCCGAGAGCCGGCGAGCCCCAGGGACTGTGCAGGGATTTCTGCCGCACACATGAGCCATCAGCTGGGCTCCACAGTGTCCCAGCACTCCTCACGAAACCACAGGCCCTCGGATCCTGCTGACCTACCCCTGCTCTATCACCCTGCAAAAAGCTGGCAGAAGAGTTTAGCAGGTTAATCCATCCAGGAATAGCATCGTCCCTTCCACAGGAGAAAACCAGGCTGCTGCTCACGGCTCTGGCTAACTTTCCTGTCTGCCCAGGGATGCTGTGAGAGAAATGCTGGTTGGACACCTGCTTTGTCTAGGAATTCTCGTTGCAAGCGGCATCTCTGCTTTCCATTGGCAGCCCCGTTTGAAGTAATAACTTCAAAGGGACTTCCTATTTCTCCAGGTTGGAGTGTCTGCCTACTCAGCTCCCACACTGTAACTTTCTGCTTGCGGTTTCCATCTGGCAAAGCCTTCTGCTTTGCTGTCTCCTACCACCAGCCTAGGTTAGCATTTGATCTCTTCCCTCGCCCTAGGCAAAGCCACGAGGGACACTGCAGCGTGTGGTTTGTAGCACTTCTTCTTCCCCCATCCTGCTGGCTGCCACGTTTGCTCTCTCAAATCTTTCTACGTCCTAAAAGAGAGTCGGTGCTGAAGCTCTTGTTCTTGTTGTAGCGATACACAGAGATGGCCACAGTCACTCATTTTAGGCAYGGAATACACCCTCAGCTTTTTCCTTTTCTCCTTAACAGCTCCTCCTAAGACTGA